ATACCCCCCCCACGGCAGAGATGCACCTTCCGACAAGGTGCATGTCATGTCGGATATGCCGGGCGGGTGTCCCCGGTCGGTCGTCTCGCCTGTTCGGGTGTTAGTGCGTGATTTGTGGTGACATGTTACAACATTCTCGCTTCAATGTGACTCAGTAGCTAGCAAGCGCCTAACGGGGGCCAGGCTCGTAGCGGTTGCGTCTCGGGCCCCTGGCTTGGTTTGTCGAGGCCGGGTTTTCTCTAAGGCGAGTCCTGGCCCTGCAGGCTAGTTCTAACCGGGATCGGGGGGTTTAGGGAGTGAGCTCCGGCCGTGAACTCTAAGGTTTGGGCCGGTGTGCCTGACTCCTGGGTCTCTTGGTCTGGAAGACTCAAAGTTCCAAGCCGAGAGATTAGCAGGAGTTTCTAATCTAGGGGACTAGGATGTAAAAATAAGAAACTTCATAAAATCCGAAAAAGGGTGGCTGCCTTGGCAGCGGGTAGGAGCGTCGTTAAGGCACTCGATGGTGAGGGGTTCCCACCTTGCTCGTTCTAAAAGGGGAGTGTAAGGGTTACGCGAATATATGACGTAGCAAGTGGGGCTTTAATTACGAGGGGCATTTCCTGTATATAAACGGGGATGACAGGTATGATTGTCTAAGAGACTGATTAGGTATCGAGGTAGGTTGGTTGGGTCTGAGCTGGTGACTCTTAGTGGTGTTTTAGGCCCTTGGTTCACCTTCCGTGATAGAAAGGGTGACCGTCTCGAGTGGGTGACTTTGGAGGTCCTCGTACTCTGACTCATTGACCTGGGGACGCCGACTCAGATTGCCACGCTCGACGGCGCTGTCGCCCCGGTTTGGTCGTCTACGGATCTGTCTCGTCATTGCCTCCGTGCACCTGTTAAAGCTATCGCGGAGTCGTCTAACCCGTCTATTTAGGACGAAGGCCATGGCTACGACCAGGCCGTACCCGAGTCCTACCGCGATGGCCATGACTGTATCGGGGGCGGCCCAGGAGTAGGCTACTGGTTGGTGGTGGATGGTCGGTCGCTTGGCAATCTCTTGGAGGAGGTTGTCTACGACCGTAACGTCAACGGTTTGTGCCCCCTCGTAGGTGGCTTGGACGAGGGTGGAGGGTTGAAGTTCCAAGGCCCTTTCCTCGAAGAACTCTGGTATCTCGACCTCTGCCTCGTACTGGTTCGGATACAGGTGGTATAATGCCAGGTCGCCTACGTGCAGGATAGCGTCGGCTGGGACGTCGACCCAAAAGGTTTCGTCCGGGAGGCTTACTCGGGACGAGGTGTCATGTTTGTCATAGGTCAGGGTCGCCGTTCTAAGGGGAGTGTTCACTAGCCAGCGTGCCCCTACAATCTCTGCTCTAGTTTCGGTTATTTGTTTCCGCGAGGTGACCGTCGCGGGGCATCGACTCCCTGGAGTCATGGGCCTCAGGCCGCAGATGCCATCGGTGCTGTCCCTGACGAAAGGTTTGCTGGGGCAGAGGTAATGGATGTCCTTGGTGAGGGTGCACATCCTTAGGTTTGGCGTTAGGTATAAATTGGGGTTACTGTCGTGGTAGGCTACTATGTCTGGGGTCTGGACTCTGACGTGGGCATTGTCCCTCCAAGTCCCTAGGTTAGTGATCCCTTTTAGAGACCAGAGAGAGAGACCAGAGAGAGAGACCAGAGAGAGAGAGAGAGAGACCAGAGAGAGAGAGACCAGAGAGAGAGAGACCAGAGAGAGAGAGACCAGAGAGAGAGAGACCAGAGAGAGAGAGACCAGAGAGAGACGAGAGAGAGACCAGAGAGACCAGAGAGAGACCAGAGAGAGAGAGACCAGAGAGAGAGACCAGAGAGAGAGAGACCAGAAGGAGACCAGAGAGAGAGACCAGAGAGACCAGAGAGAGACCAGAGAGAGAGAGACCAGAGAGAGAGAGACCAGAGAGAGAGAGACCAGAGAGAGAGAGACCAGAGAGAGACCAGACAGAGAGAGAGAGGGAGACCAGACAGAGAGAGAGAGACCAGACAGAGAGAGAGAGGGAGACCAGACAGAGAGAGAGAGAGACAGAGAGAGAGAGACCAGAAGGAGACCAGAGAGAGAGACCAGAGAGAGAGAGACCAGAGAGAGAGACCAGAGAGAGACCAGAGAGAGAGAGACCAGAGAGAGAGACCAGAGAGAGAGACCAGAGAGAGAGAGACCAGAGAGAGAGACCAGAGAGAGAGAGAGACCAGAGAGAGAGAGAGACCAGAGAGAGAGAGAGACCAGACAGAGAGAGGGAGACCAGACAGAGAGAGAGACCAGACAGAGAGAGAGACCAGACAGAGAGAGAGACCAGAGAGAGAGAGAGACCAGAGAGAGAGAGAGACCAGAGAGAGAGAGACCAGAGAGAGAGAGACCAGAGAGAGAGAGACCAGAGAGAGAGAGACCAGAGAGAGACCAGACAGAGAGAGAGAGAGGGGGAGACCAGACAGAGAGAGAGAGACCAGACAGAGAGAGAGAGGGAGACCAGACAGAGAGAGAGAGACCAGAGAGAGAGAGACCAGAAGGAGACCAGAGAGAGAGACCAGAGAGACCAGAGAGAGACCAGAGAGAGAGAGACCAGAGAGAGAGAGACCAGAGAGAGAGAGACCAGAGAGAGACCAGACAGAGAGAGAGAGGGAGACCAGACAGAGAGAGAGAGACCAGACAGAGAGAGAGAGGGAGACCAGACAGAGAGAGAGAGACCAGAGAGAGAGAGACCAGAGAGAGAGAGACCAGAGAGAGAGAGACCAGAGAGAGAGAGAGAGACCAGAGAGAGAGAGAGAGACCAGAGAGAGAGAGAGAGACCAGAGAGAGAGAGAGACCAGAGAGAGAGAGACCAGAGAGAGAGAGACCAGAGAGAGAGAGACCAGAGAGAGAGAGACCAGAGAGAGACCAGAGAGAGACCAGAGAGAGAGACCATAGAGAGAGACCATAGAGAGAGACCATAGAGAGAGAGACCAGAGAGAGAGAGACCAGAGAGAGAGAGACCAGAGAGAGAGAGACCAGAGAGAGAGAGACCAGAGAGAGACCAGAGAGAGAGAGACCAGAGAGAGAGACCAGAGAGAGAGACCAGAGAGAGAGACCAGAGAGAGAGAGACCAGAGAGAGAGACCAGAGAGAGAGAGAGACCAGAGAGAGAGAGAGACCAGAGAGAGAGAGAGACCAGACAGAGAGAGGGAGACCAGACAGAGAGAGAGACCAGACAGAGAGAGAGACCAGACAGAGAGAGAGACCAGACAGAGAGAGAGACCAGAGAGAGAGAGAGACCAGAGAGAGAGAGAGACCAGAGAGAGAGAGACCAGAGAGAGAGAGACCAGAGAGAGAGAGACCAGAGAGAGAGAGACCAGAGAGAGAGACGAGAGAGAGACCAGAGAGAGAGAGAGACCAGAGAGAGAGACCAGAGAGAGACCAGAGAGAGAGAGAGAGACCAGAGAGAGAGAGAGACCAGAGAGAGAGAGAGAGAGAGACCAGAGAGAGAGACCAGACAGAGAGACCAGACAGACCAGAGAGAGAGAGAGACCAGAGAGAGAGAGAGACCAGAGAGAGAGAGACCAGAGAGAGAGACTAGAGAGAGAGACTAGAGAGAGAGACCAGAGAGAGAGAGAGACCAGAGAGAGAGAGACCAGAGAGAGAGACTAGAGAGAGAGACTAGAGAGAGACCAGAGAGAGACCAGAGAGAGACCAGAGAGAGAGACCAGAGAGAGAGAGAGACCAGAGAGAGAGAGAGACCAGAGAGAGACCAGACAGAGAGAGGGAGACCAGACAGAGAGAGAGACCAGACAGAGAGAGAGACCAGACAGAGAGAGAGACCAGAGAGAGAGAGAGACCAGAGAGAGAGAGAGACCAGAGAGAGAGAGAGAGACCAGAGAGAGAGAGACCAGAGAGAGAGAGACCAGAGAGAGAGAGACCAGAGAGAGAGACCAGAGAGAGAGAGAGACCAGAGAGAGAGAGAGACCAGAGAGAGACCAGAGAGAGAGAGAGAGACCAGAGAGAGAGAGAGAGACCAGAGAGAGAGAGAGACCAGACAGAGAGAGAGACCAGAGAGAGAGAGAGACCAGAGAGAGAGAGAGACCAGAGAGAGAGAGAGACCAGAGAGAGAGAGACCAGAGAGAGAGAGACCAGAGAGAGAGAGACCAGAGAGAGAGACCAGAGAGAGAGAGACCAGAGAGAGAGAGACCAGAGAGAGAGACCAGAGAGAGAGACCAGAGAGAGAGAGAGAGAGAGAGAGACCAGAGAGAGACCAGAGAGAGAGAGAGAGACCAGAGAGAGAGAGAGACCAGAGAGAGAGAGAGAGAGACCAGAGAGAGAGAGAGACCAGACAGAGAGACCAGACAGAGAGACCAGAGAGAGACCAGAGAGAGAGAGAGACCAGAGAGAGAGAGAGACCAGAGAGAGAGAGACCAGAGAGAGAGACTAGAGAGAGAGAGAGACCAGAGAGAGAGACTAGAGAGAGAGAGAGACCAACATTGAACATTCAGGACATAGGACCTTATTACACACATCACAGTATTTGATAAAATGGCGATACTGAACAGAACAGAATCGATAATTCTCCGTCATCCTTAAATACAATCCATGGCGGAAACATTTGGACATTTTTCTTTCACAACTTTTCCTACAGAAATGTCTTTTATCCAGTGTGGGCGGGTCCCGGCTCAAAGGGTCCATGTTCTCTGACTGTGGGGGTGTACAGGAAACAGAATTATCCAATACATTTTTTATGGCGCCTTTTTTCCACAATACAATCCAAAAGTCCAGACGAGTTCCGCCGCTGTGGACTTATGCGCTTTTTTAGCCATGTGTCGGACTCGTGCAGCTGACGCATTTTTTCACCATTTTTCTGTGGGAGGGGCTACTCGCGGCCATTTTGAAAAGCTCCATGTCAATCACAAATACATTTCAAAGGAGGAAATAGGCGTCAGTACGTCCGCTAATATTTACAGTCAATGCTTTTATGGTAGAGTTCAGACGCACTGAAGAGTCTTGACGTTTGTGTTTGGTTCCAGTTTGTACAAGACGGACACACACACGCCCTCGCATCACCTGGAGCCCGTGCAGCGCTCCGAGCCCTTCCTGGACCGGGACTACTGCCTCCCCCCGAGCGGCGCCGGATACAACTACCTGGACCCGAACTATTTCCCCTCCAACAGATGACAGGGCCACACGCGCTGACCCTGCTCCACAATCACACCCACAGGCCTCTGCACGGCTTCCACCTCCACCGAGCCAAAATGGCGTCCGGGGGGGGAGGGGGGGACGGCCATTTTGGATCAACGATTTTTTAAACTGGAGAAGACAGAAGGCACACGACATTCCTGATCGTTGGGGGTCCGGGAGGCCGCACCGTTCCCAAGAAGCGTCATTTCGATTATCGTTATCGTTAATGGCGATGACACGACCTCCTTTGCTGCTTTAAAACCGGGGATTTGTGAAGTATAGCGCCCCCTAGTGGAAGCTAAAGAGACGACAACACGCGTCAGACGAAATCGGTTCGAACTGTACGTCTGGCGCTGCGTCTCGGCGGCAGAGTGAGAAATGTCCCAGCCAGGCATCCGTACTCTGAGTATTTATGAACGGGCAGAGACCGGGGCACGCGTTGGGACTCGGAATTTTATGTGTTGCAACGCTAGTACGTTTTTCTCCCACTGTCGCGCTGATTCTGGAGCCTGGGTTCTGCGAGACCGGGCTGACGGCAACGACCACACGGACACAGTTTCATATCATACTTTAAAGTCCTAATATTGTATCACAGACGTTTTCAAATGATAAAAAACATTCTGTGACGGCTGGATATTGTTTTAGTCTTTGATGTTTTAGGATTCAAAGTTAAAAGACCGTTTCAATAACTACCTTTGGATTGTGGGGATAATGCAGTGGTCGAAGCTTCTACTTTAAACAGGTTGAAACCATTCTTGAAACAGGAAGAATATATTAGAATTGGAGAACTTTTTGACCGTCTTAAAAGGAGATTTGCCAACGGGACGAACACAAATGTCTTGTTTTAAAAGAAATGTGCAATAATCTGAGCTGCTGTCCTCTTCAGTCAGAGCTGGAGGTGTTTTAGATCCACCCACGAAAATAAATCAGCTTTGGTCATTTCTCAAGAGAACGAGCAGAACAACCACGGCCCACGACACAAAGCCTAAATTAACTTTGGATTGTGCGGAAAATCTTGAAAAACCAGTTAAACACTCGTAGAATTTGATTTCCCCAGACTTGATATGTTTCAGTAGAATATTGATCCTTGTTTACCGTGATTCTGAGGACCACTGTCAAAGCTGTTTGTTATTGTTGCTCTTCCTGAATTTACCTGAATCCTTCAACGTCTGTGCCAGAAGAAACGCCGAATTCAACTTTAGTTTGTGGGAAACATCCTGAAAATGTTGCACGGCTGGAGCTCCAACACATTATCATTCACGTTAGCTTCTGTGACTCATTCACGTTAGCTTCTGTGACTCATTCACGTTAGCTTCTGTGACTCATTCACGTTAGCTTCTGTGACTCATTCACGTTAGCTTCTGTGACTCATTCACGTTAGCTTCTGTGACTCATTCACGTTAGCTTCTGTGACTCATTCACGTTAGCTTCTGTGACTCATTCACGTTAGCTTCTGTGACTCATTCACGTTAGCTTCTGTGACTCATTCACGTTAGCTTCTGTGACTCATTCACGTTAGCTTCTGTGACTCATTCACGTGTGACTTTTCTTCTGTGACTCATTCACGTTAGCTTCTGTGACTCATTCACGTGTTCTACTTCGTTAGCTTCTGTGACTCATTCACGTTAGCTTCTGTGACTCATTCACGTTAGCTTCTGTGACTCATTCATTGCTCACGTTAGCTTCTGTGACTCATTCACGTTAGCTTCTGTGACTCATTCACGTTAGCTTCTGTGACATTCATTCACGTTAGCTTCTGTGACTCATTCACGTTAGCTTCTGTGACTCATTCACGTTAGCTTCTGTGACTCATTCACGTTAGCTTCTGTGACTCATTCACCGTTAGCTTCTGTGACTCATTCACGTTAGCTTCTGTGACTCATTCACGTTAGCTTCTGTGACTCATTCACGTTAGCTTCTGTGACTCATTCACGTTAGCTTCTGTGACTCATTCACGTTAGCTTCTGTGACTCATTCACGTTAGCTTCTGTGACTCATTCACGTTAGCTTCTGTGACTCATTCACGTTAGCTTCTGTGACTCATTCACGTTAGCTTCTGTGACTCGTTAGCTTCTGTGACTCATTCACGTTAGCTTCTGTGACTCATTCACGTTAGCTTCTGTGACTCATTCACGTTAGCTTCTGTGACTCATTCACGTTAGCTTCTGTGACTCATTCACGTTAGCTTCTGTGACTCATTCACGTTAGCTTCTGTGACTCATTCACGTTAGCTTCTGTGACTCATTCACGTTAGCTTCTGTGACTCATTCACGTTAGCTTCTGTGACCGTTAGCTTCTGTGACTCATTCACGTTAGCTTCTGTGACTCATTCACGTTAGCTTCTGTGACTCATTCACGTTAGCTTCTGTGACTCATTCACGTTAGCTTCTGTGACTCATTCACGTTAGCTTCTGTGACTCATTCACGTTAGCTTCTGTGACTCATTCACGTTAGCTTCTGTGACCGTTAGCTTCTGTGACTCATTCACGTTAGCTTCTGTGACCGTTAGCTTCTGTGACTCATTCACGTTAGCTTCTGTGACTCATTCACGTTAGCTTCTGTGACTCATTCACGTTAGCTTCTGTGACTCATTCACCGTTAGCTTCTGTGACTCATTCACCGTTAGCTTCTGTGACTCATTCACGTTAGCTTCTGTGACTCATTCACGTTAGCTTCTGTGACTCATTCACGTTAGCTTCTGTGACTCATTCACGTTAGCTTCTGTGACTCATTCACGTTAGCTTCTGTGACCGTTAGCTTCTGTGACTCATTCACGTTAGCTTCTGTGACCGTTAGCTTCTGTGACTCATTCACGTTAGCTTCTGTGACTCATTCACGTTAGCTTCTGTGACTCATTCACCTTAGCTTCTGTGACTCATTCACGTTAGCTTCTGTGACCGTTAGCTTCTGTGACTCATTCACGTTAGCTTCTGTGACCGTTAGCTTCTGTGACTCATTCACGTTAGCTTCTGTGACTCATTCACGTTAGCTTCTGTGACTCATTCACGTTAGCTTCTGTGACTCATTCACGTTAGCTTCTGTGACTCATTCACGTTAGCTTCTGTGACCTTCACGTTAGCTTCTGTGACTCATTCACGTTAGCTTCTGTGACTCATTCACGTTAGCTTCTGTGACTCATTCACGTTAGCTTCTGTGACTCATTCACGTTAGCTTCTGTGACTCATTCACGTTAGCTTCTGTGACTCATTCACGTTAGCTTCTGTGACTCATTCACGTTAGCTTCTGTGACTCATTCCGTTAGCTTCTGTGACTCATTCACGTTAGCTTCTGTGACTCATTCACGTTAGCTTCTGTGACTCATTCACGTTAGCTTCTGTGACTCATTCACGTTAGCTTCTGTGACTCATTCACGTTAGCTTCTGTGACCGTTAGCTTCTGTGACTCATTCACGTTAGCTTCTGTGACTCATTCACGTTAGCTTCTGTGACTCATTCACGTTAGCTTCTGTGACTCATTCACGTTAGCTTCTGTGACTCATTCACGTTAGCTTCTGTGACTCATTCACGTTAGCTTCTGTGACTCATTCACGTTAGCTTCTGTGACTCATTCACGTTAGCTTCTGTGACTCATTCACGTTAGCTTCTGTGACTCATTCACGTTAGCTTCTGTGACTCATTCACGTTAGCTTCTGTGACTCATTCACGTTAGCTTCTGTGACTCATTCACGTTAGCTTCTGTGACTCATTCACGTTAGCTTCTGTGACTCATTCACGTTAGCTTCTGTGACTCATTCACGTTAGCTTCTGTGACTCATTCACGTTAGCTTCTGTGACTCATTCACGTTAGCTTCTGTGACTCATTCACGTTAGCTTCTGTGACTCATTCACGTTAGCTTCTGTGACTCATTCACGTTAGCTTCTGTGACTCATTCACGTTAGCTTCTGTGACTCATTCACGTTAGCTTCTGTGACTCATTCAGTTAGCTTCTGTGACTCATTCACGTTAGCTTCTGTGACTCATTCACGTTAGCTTCTGTGACTCATTCACGTTAGCTTCTGTGACTCATTCACGTTAGCTTCTGTGACTCATTCACGTTAGCTTCTGTGACTCATTCACGTTAGCTTCTGTGACTCATTCACGTTAGCTTCTGTGACTCATTCACGTTAGCTTCTGTGACTCATTCACGTTAGCTTCTGTGACTCATTCACGTTAGCTTCTGTGACTCATTCACGTTAGCTTCTGTGACTCATTCACGTTAGCTTCTGTGACTCATTCACGTTAGCTTCTGTGACTCATTCACGTTAGCTTCTGTGACTCATTCACGTTAGCTTCTGTGACTCATTCACGTTAGCTTCTGTGACTCATTCACGTTAGCTTCTGTGACTCATTCACGTTAGCTTCTGTGACTCATTCACGTTAGCTTCTGTGACTCATTCACGTTAGCTTCTGTGACTCATTCACGTTAGCTTCTGTGACTCATTCACGTTAGCTTCTGTGACTCATTCACGTTAGCTTCTGTGACTCATTCACGTTAGCTTCTGTGACTCATTCACGTTAGCTTCTGTGACTCATTCACGTTAGCTTCTGTGACTCATTCACGTTAGCTTCTGTGACTCATTCACGTTAGCTTCTGTGACTCATTCACGTTAGCTTCTGTGACTCATTCACGTTAGCTTCTGTGACTCATTCACGTTAGCTTCTGTGACTCATTCACGTTAGCTTCTGTGACTCATTCACGTTAGCTTCTGTGACTCATTCACGTTAGCTTCTGTGACTCATTCACGTTAGCTTCTGTGACTCATTCACGTTAGCTTCTGTGACTCATTCACCGTTAGCTTCTGTGACTCATTCACGTTAGCTTCTGTGACTCATTCACGTTAGCTTCTGTGACTCATTCACGTTAGCTTCTGTGACTCATTCACGTTAGCTTCTGTGACCGTTAGCTTCTGTGACTCATTCACGTTAGCTTCTGTGACTCATTCACGTTAGCTTCTGTGACTCATTCACGTTAGCTTCTGTGACTCATTCACGTTAGC